TGTTATACTCCGGTCATGAAGAAGAAAATGCCCCACATACACAAGGAGTTGTATTGATGCTGTCCAAACAAACACGAAATGCACTTATAGGATGAGAATCTCATGGACCAAGGATCATCAAAGCCTCCTTCAAAACAAAGAGAGAGGGCATTACAATGAACGTCATCCAATGCTATGCGCCGACCAACGACTACGATGAAGACGCTAAAGACCAATTCTACGATAGGCTGCAGTCGATCTTCGAGAAGTGCCCAACCAAAGACCTGACCATTCTGATGGGAGATCTCAATGCCAAGGTTGGGAAGGACAACACTGGATACGAAGACGTCATGGGACAACATGGACTGGGAGAAAGGAACGAAAATGGTGAGAGATTTGCAAACCTATGTGCCTTCAATAAACTGGTCATAGTTGGTACCATATTCCCACACAAAAACATACACAAAGCCACTTGGATTTCACCGGATCACACTACACAGAATCAAATCGACCATATCTGCATCAGGAGGACGATGGAGGATGTGAGAACCAGAAGAGGAGCTGATATAGCATCCGATCATCATTTGCTGGTCGCCAAGATGAAACTAAAACTCAAGAAGCACTGGACAACGGTGCGGACAACATCACAAAACTTTAATAAGGCCTTTCTTCGAGATGCTGACAAATTCAACATAGCCCTCAGAAACAGGTTCCAGGCCTTTCATGATCTACTCAATGGAGAGGGAACTACCATTGAGAGCAACTGGAAAGGTATCAAGGAGGCAATCGTTTCAACATGTCAGGAGGTTCTGGGCCAAAAGAAGCACCATCACAAGGAATGGATCACTGTTGGTACACTGGATAAAATTGAAGAAAGAAGGAACAAGTAGGCAGCAATCAATATCAGCCGAACAAGAGCGGAAAAAGCCAAGGCACAAGCCGAATACACAGAGGCAAACAAGCAAGTGAAGAGGAGCATCAGAACCAACAATCGTAAATATGTTGAAGATTTAGCGATGACAGCGGAAAAGGCTGCAAGAGAGGAAAACAGGAGACAACTGTGTGATACAACAAAGAAACGTGCTGGAAATTACAGTAAGCCAGAAAGACCAGTGAAAAGCAAGGAAGGCAAAGTAATCACCGACATTGAAGAACAATGAAACAGGTGGGTAGAACACTTCGAAGAACTCTTGAATCGACCAGCTCCACTGAACCCACCCAACATCGAAGCAGCACCCACGGACCTCCCAATCGATATTGGCCCACCAACAATTGAAGAGATCAGCATGGCCATTAGACAAATCAAGAGCGGCAAAGCAGCGGAACCAGACAACATCCCGGCAGAGGCACTGAAAGCAAATGTAACAGCAACTGCCAAGATACTACACATCCTCTTCAGTAAGATTTGGGACGAAGAACAGGTACCAACAGACTGGAAAAAAGGACTTCTGATCAAAATACCAAAGAAAGGTGATCTTAGCAAGTGCGACAACTACAGGGTCATCACTCTTCTCTCAATACCAGGAAAAGTCTTCAACAGAGTATTGTTAAACAGGATGAAGGATTCCGTGGACGCCCAACTTCGAGATCAACAAGCTGGGTTTCGTAAGGATAGATCGTGCACAGATCAAATCGCAACTCTGCGGATCATTGTGGAACAATCAATCGAATGGAATTCATCACTCTACATCAACTTCATCGACTACGAGAAGGCATTTGATAGCGTGGACAGGACGACACTATGGAGGCTTCTTCAACACTACGGCGTGCCTGAGAAAATAGTCAATATCATACGGAACTCCTATAATGGACTAAACTGCCAAATCGTCCACGGAGGACAACTCACCGACTCGTTTGAAGTAAAGACTGGTGTTAGGCAAGGTTGCTTACTCTCACCGTTTCTCTTTCTCCTGGTGATCGACTGGATTATGAAGACGTCAACGACTGGAGGAAAGCATGGGATACAGTGGACAGGCAGGATGCAACTTGATGATCTAGACTTCGCGGATGATCTGGCTCTTCTATCACAAACGCAACAACAAATGCAGGAGAAAACGACCAGTGTAGCAGCAGCCTCAGCAGCAGTAGGTCTCAATATAAACAAAGGGAAAAGCGAGACTCTCCGATACAACACAATATGCACCAATCAAATTACACTTGACGGAGAAGCTTTGGAGGATGTGGAAACCTTTACATATCAGGGCAGCATCATTGATGAACACGGTGGATCAGACGCAGATGTGAGGGCGAGGATCGGCAAAGCAAGAGCAGCATACTTACAACTGAAAAATATCTGGAGCTCAAAACAATTGTCAACCAACACCAAGGTTAGAATTTTCAATACAAATGTCAAGACAGTTCTATTGTATGGGGCGGAGACGTGGAGAACTACGAAAGCCATTATCCAGAAGATACAAGTGTTTATTAACAGTTGTCTACGCAAGATACGTCGGATCCGATGGCCAGACAATATCAGCAACAAGTTACTGTGGGAGACAACAAATCAGATTCCAGCGGAGGAAGAAATCAGGAGGAAGCGCTGGAAATGGATAGGGCACACTTTGAGGATATCACCCGATTGCGTCACAAGACAAGCCCTCACATGGAATCCTGAAGGTCAACGGAGAAGAGGAAGACCAAAGAACACATTACGCCGAGAAATAGAGACAGACATGAGAAGAATGAACAAGAACTGGATAGAACTAGAAAAGGAAGCCCAGGACAGAGTGGGTTGGAGAAAGCTGGTCGGCGGCCTATGCTCCATTGGGAGTAACAGGCGAAAGTAAGTAAGTATAAAACAATAAACAAAGAAGTGGAAAGAGAGCGAGTAGGAACGATGTAAGACAAACTTAACAATAGTATTGCATCTTGATCGAGAGAAATCAATCAGCACCATGATATAACGCATTGTAAAATCGTACATACAACACTGAAAGGAGTGGAGTACAATAATAACTCAACTGAAAGATAATATGAACCTTTCCTCACAGATAAAGTTAAATAAAATAGTCGCCGAATAGAGTGATATAGCTACTAGTAAGAGGCTGGGTGGCAGTGCTAATAATTAGTGATAATTACGAATACGTACATGAGTAATTTTTGTGTCACTCGATATTTATTTATCCAAGTTTCACTCCACTTTCTATGTTAAAATATTAACACCATTTTTATTATTCTTATTACCACTAGTATACTTACTATTTTACTATTAATTTGTATTTCCAACCTATCACAATCTGTTTCATTCTTGTGACTGACTCATAAATTGTCTGGACTCGCCTAATACTTCCCATATATTCATATAAATATTCCTACATACTATAGTAACACTTGATAATCTGACTAAAAACGATATCGTTTGCTTACATGTGATGTTCTCAAGATAATAGTGGATTTTCAACTCAGAAGTTCATGCAATTTATTTTAAATAATAAATCTCTAACATCTTAAAATGGTTAATCAAACCATAAACAGACGGTTTATTTTCCTAAACTAATTATAACCGATAGGACAAATGAACATGATATATTTAAATGCTCTTCTATAAAATGTACGACGACGATAAGTATTACACGAATCAACGCTTCATAAAAATGACATCTACTTAATAATGAAGTATTATGATAATGGTTTATGTTTTAATGATTTGTGAACAGGATTATGAGTGCCGTAACACTTTTCTACAGGCACATCCAAGTCGTACAGCAAATAGATGGATTTCCCCTTGGAGTTTATTTTTGCTGAAAACATGATAAATATTTTGCAACCAAAGTTTCCTAATCATCATCTACCCCTATTGAGTTCAATTTATTAATATAGGAATATAATCAACACACGAAACGCGAAATACTGACCGATAATGTTCATCATCATCGTATACAGCGTAGAACCTGATACGTACATAGGTTTAAGCTGCCATACCACATTAACAGGGTGAGATAAAATCTCGGAGTAGCAGAAGTAGTACCAATTCCAGTATTAGTAGAATAAAAAAGACTCGGTATAGAAAAACAAAATAGGTATGACATTTCGAAACTGAAGCTCTAGAGTAACACTAGGAGTAAATGCACCTCCACCGTTGCGAGCGATACTGTCATGTTATCTAAAGTCTGCATCCATTGGTTACGATAATCTAACGGATACCAACCAGTTAGTCTATACCTGTTAGTATGACTTGATCTAATCGTTAATAACTTCAAAGACTGGTGACACCTCTTAGTTTGGCCTCACCTATGTTTCCCCCAGTCTACTTATACACTAGCCATCATCATCAAGCATCAAGGTAGGCGGTGTTTAGGGATACGTGACACATGTCCCAACCACCTCAGTTAATAAAGATTCCCTGCCTCATCAATCGGTTTGCCATTTTTACATAGGAATACCACATATTATTAACGGGAGCATTTTGCAACCATTAAGTACAATCGAGTGAACTACTGTGTAGTATAACCGCCCTCTGGTTGACAGACTGATAACTCATCTACGTCACAAGAGACTAACAACGGTCCAATATCAGGAAAATTAGTTACATATATACTGATGGTCCAATAACTTAGTAAGTCCACGTAAAACACATGTCACTAAAACTTCCTTTAAGCCGTCAGTCATGAACAACGTGAAACCTGGCAAAAATGTGCAGTAGTTCCAGTTGCCACGCGATATCACAACAAGATAGAATTACCAAGACGAAGATAACAGCTGTAGTAGTAGCAGTATCGGCGGTATTAGATAGATTAGATTGAACGGATAATATGACTCGAAAAGAAATGATGAGTTACTGGTATAAAAAGTAAAAAAATAATTTTGGAACTCAAGACCTAGAATAAGATAAAGAGTAGATACATCTGTGCCCAGAAGTATCTCGTTTAGAACAAGTGAACAACATAAGAAGTTTCAAGTGAGATCTATACTCGAAAACCAACCAGTTTGTGTTATTTTACACCTACTCTTAAAATCGTATGAACAACGTAAGGATTTTCAAATACAATCACAAATAAATATGTTGAAAAATAAAAGAATTGTTTACTCACAATCTATTCATTTTTTCAACAACTCATTGAATTACCACATAGGAAAAACAGGAGTAATTGCAGTATATACACCAGTTATGAAACGTAACAAAAAAGCTTCAAAATAAATCACACAGACGGTAAGTAGGCAATATAACTTCGAGTTATCTTTGTTACAGTTCTATATAAATCCAGACTCACACCATCCATAAAAGTAAATGAAAACGCTGTGAGGTGATAACGTTTCCTATCGTCTGATACACTTAACTCCCCAATAAATTGTATCAAGCGTTCATTAGCTGTCTGAGTTGAAAAACATTGCTTCTGGTTTTCAGTTAGATATTTTACATTGACGATAACGCATGGGATAGCACTACCTTGAAATGGAGACAACAATTCAACTAAATTGCTATCAGCTTCAAAGGCAGAAAATCTGTATGCCATATATGAAATAAATAAATTAAGGATTTGTAAAAAAGTGGCAAAATTAAAAAGAAAACTTTCATTCAAAAGTTTAACGTACCTACAATCTAAAATTAAATAACAGGATTCTAAAGAGTAGGCATGTAATAACTATTTAATAATTATGATACTGAGCTACGAAACATAAACTCCTGTTCGTACATTCAATAATCAAGCAATTGAACACTATTTCAAGATATGTTACAATGTGGTAATAATCTGCCAAGTCTAAACAAGAAGAAACTCGACTGACTTACCAGGATAAAAGATTTACATGTTTCCTCAGATAACTAGATAGGGAACGTGTTGTCGAAATAACTAACCTATAGCTGGAGAATTTTTAGCTGAAAGCATATTGATAGACAAGAGCAAGTTAGTATTGATGAAGATTATTAACACTTTAATCTGTAAATATTGACTGTAATCATGAAACACAAGCTGCTTTACATTTTTAGTTGGAAATTTTGAATGATTACTATGAATAACTGATCCAGAATTGAAAGTAATAACACACATATATTCACGAAAATATTTAAGACTGTTATTTCGCCTCTGTGACTTTTTATTTAGGTTTCACGTATAAATATAATGACCTCACTCAACCTAAACTCAACATATATGCAAGTACAATGCATGGTTAAACCAATAAACTAGTACACATACCTGCCTAGAAGACGGATATTTAGAGTTTTGTTATTGGTAATTATGGAGCGAAAGACATTTTCTTTGGTGTATAGTTCATCAAAAAGGACATAGGCTGCGGGACCAACCTGATGATTTAAGTAGAAAAATCAAATACAGAAGTATTAGTCAAGCACACATATGCTACACAAAACCTGACGTGTATCGCTTTAGGTTTCAATATCCCATTAAGACAGCAAGATAAAATTACCAAGACGAATTCCAGAGTAGTAGAAGCAATAAAAATATTGGTAGCAGTAGGAAAGGTCGTGTTAAAAAAGCAGAAAGGTATAAGGAGATTTCAGGACTTAAGAAATAAGGGTAAATAAAGAGTAGATGCACCTGGACCATTGAGAACGACTTCGAGCTGTTACCCAAAGTACAACCACTGAACATAACACTGAATAAAAATTATACAATATTTGATCGTATATTGGTACCTGACATGTTTTTTGAAACATTTGTCTTAGTAGTACTATCTATTGACACTCAAAAGTACAGTTAGGAGCTGAACAACTAAATGTCACGTATACAAAACACAACGCTACACAAATATGAAGTACATACTCCAAAGATTGACAAAAAGGTTGGTAATAAACTTATTTGCTAAACTGAGATCATGAAATTGGAGTATACAGAAGAAAACAAAAAACACTAGTCATTCCTTATCGTGATGAAATGTCGAAGAAAACCAAACGAGCTTAAAACAAACGTGAAGTCAAGACTCGTTTTTTGGTGATAATACCACTAAACTAACACTGGTAAAAGATAAAAATCGGATTCCCGAATGGCAACGGTAACACTACTTACGAAACTAGATGTGGCAAACTTAACCACATAAATGTGGAAGAAAAACCCAAGTAGGTGTATGTCATGGTAAAGGAACACAATATTTCACACGTTTTTGGATCCTCATAAGACCTCAAGAGATTTAATAACAGATACTTAAATGGACTGTACTAGTCAGAAAGAGAAGATTGACTTTGACAGAGCCGAAACAATTCGGAAAGCTTTTTAAATTACCAGGATCAACAAACAAAGCTTTGTCTATATTGAGGAACCCAAATAATTAGTAACATGACACTGACAATAATGGATATCAAGCTATTCGGGAAATTATTGTTTTTGTCATGACCATTAATCCCATGTTAATGACCACTTTTTTCGCATTAGCACTTCACAGTTCGATTATTTCACACAACTTACCCGTTTTTGTATGAATGCACATTCTTAGATTTCTCGTTAGAAACTTGTAGTTTGCTGAGTGGTTGATAAGTACTTATGGTCCTAAAATTTGACTGTTTTTGTGGAGTGTAAGTCTTATAATTGAACTAATTACCAATTCAAGTGTCATTTAAATAAAACCCGAGGACTTCAAAGTGGAATATTGATGTATCTGTATCATGAGTGTCATCGCGAAACATGAATACTTTGCAATCGTTACTGAAACTACGATTGATCAGTCGCATTACGTCACATTGTTAGTGAAATAAGCTACAAAGCAAAGCTGTCTATGTAGACTTATAGTTTTCACAAAAAACATGGCTCCTTCAATAGGACATTTTACCGACAAAATAATTAAAAACTAATGTTCAAAAATGACGGATGTAAAGCATTTAAATAACCTACCCAATCTCCCAACTTTAGGGAAAATTTGACCTGTTTTGGGGAAATGGCACGAAAACCCCGAAATTTCCCCAAAATTCTAAACACTTTAGGAAAATCCGTCTATATTGCTTAACAAAACCCTAAAATTTTCCACAATTTTGGGGGAATTCTCCATAATGTCCCGTTAAAACGGGACAACTCTCTACAGATTTCGACAGATATCACTGGAAAGCCCGGCGATATAATAATAAGTATCTAGAAGTTCCCACTCATGTATTTCATTTTCTCCTGTCAACTTCACACAGTAAACGCAGTGCAAAAGCAATTTACCTACGATTGGTAACCTTAACATCGGTAATGTGTTCGTGACCAAAGTACAGGATAAGATTAAAAATAATATTTACTAGTTGTAGTTTCATCTCCGAAATTTCCCCAAATTTGGGAGACTGAGTAAACATCTAATGAATTACATGAGCTCAAAACTTACCGTGTCACCCATTTTTATAACAGTAACAGGGAGCAATACAACAAAACAGTTCTGTATAAATAAACAGAAAAGTAGTCAGATATTTTATTCGGGGGAAAAATATTAGGATACAAATATCTGATAGAAAAATGAACCATAAAATAATGATAGGTCGTTTTCATGGGCGCAACCTAGAAGCTAACGTAAATAGCTAGTGTATGATTTCCATGCATGGTTTAATGGATGTACTGGAATTTTACGACAAAAAGGTATGCACAAAGCACCCTGTGAATAAGGCAAATGACGCCCTTGAATGTTTTATTATGACCTTCAGCCTAACCGACCAAACATTAGGAAACCAAAATGGTTCAAATGGTTGAAGACGGTAGAAGAAGCTTTCGCTTAACGGGCTTCCGTGTCTAGAAGCAGTGGATCACCAACACCTCTAGGCAAGAACCTAGGTATATGAATGATAATAGAGGAAAAAAAGAATTTGGTCAATCAAAATATGTTATCCTTAGTCCTTAAGAATAAATCAAGTTTCCTCTTAAAGTACTCCTGAGAAGTCGCTTGGACTAGCTCAGTCGGCAGCGAATTGCAGAATTTAATAACTCTTATGGAGTAGAAGTTGTGTCTGCAGTCTGTTCTGCTATATAGGGTCTCCAATTTCTGGGTGTTACCCCTTATGTTAGTGTTGTGACTAAGCTTAAGAAGATGTTTAAGGGGATGGCAAGAAGTATTGAGGATACTGTAATTCATAAGAAGGTCACCTCTAAGACGCCTGTACCCTAATGGGTAAAGGTTAAGTGATTGGAGGTGCTCTTCATAAGGTTTGAATTTGAGTCCCCGAACTGATTTCACGGCTCGACGTTGTATACGTTCCAGAGTGTCCTTATCCTCTTGGAGGGAGGGAGGAAATACTATGTTTCCGTACTCTAAATGGGGACGAATAAAACTGTTAAAGATTATATGGAAGGTTCTACCGTCAAACTGGCCAAAAATACGCTTCAATGTTACCAGTGCAAGGTTTGCTTGAAAGGCGTTTTTGTCACAGTTAGCTCACGATTTCAAGTCGTAGGGTACCAACACTCCGAAATCTTTTTTGACTTGAGAAAGAGAGGAGTTACCTAAGTTGTAACTATAGTCTGCAACATGTCTCAGATGGACTACTTTACACTTTGAAGTGTTGAAGGTAAGTCCATTGTCATCTGCCCAACTTTGAAGTCGAGTCAGGTCCTCCTGAAGTACTAGTTTATCATTTTGGTTACGTATCTCCCCCCAAAGTTTCACATCATCAGCAAAAAGCAATAAAACAGATGAAACTTGTTGAGGAAGATCGTTAATGTAAATGAAGAAGAGAAGAGGTGCTAGTATTGAGCCCCGGGGGACCCCACTGGGACATTCCATAGCCTGAAAGTGAGTGAAGTTAACCCTGACCTTAAAACATCAGTTTTTTAAATATGAAGTTAGCCAGTCAATCAGAGGGGTTTGATACCCAATCGTCTAAGCTTAATGATAAGACATTTGTGGTTGACCCTATCAAAAGATTTTGAGAAATCAAGATAAATGACGTCAACCCTCCCCTTGCGATCAAGAATGGTTGTCCATCAATCCACCGCAGTCAGCAGGTTGGTCACACAAGAATGACCCTTTCTGAAACCGTGCTGTTGAGGTGGGAACTCTAAGAATAATAAGTATTCTTGTATACCGTCGTATATTGGAGATTCCATAATTTTAGAAGGTATGGAGAGAAGGGCTACCGGTCGGTAGCTTGAGGGTTCACTGCGTCAACCCCCTTTGAAAATTGGTGTGATGTGAGCCAGTTCCCAGTTTGCCTCGGCTTAGCTAGTGTGAAAACATCACGCTAAGTGGTGATGCCATGAATGAAGCTGTTTCCCTCAATGTAGCAGAATGAACCATATCCGAACAGGGAGAAGTGACTTTTCTTAGGTTTTGCAGTTTACGGAGCACCAGGTCAGCACTTAGGTCCACTTCGGAAAGTCCTGTACAGATGAGGGTGAAGCTTTCGTCAGTATAGTTGATATGGGTCAGCTGGAATGTCTGAGAGTATTGTTCAGTCAAAAGGTAAGCGGATCACAGTCGTTATAGGTCGGACCATTAGGGCCTAGCAGTTGAGAAACTCCAGTTTTGCCTTGTCGAAGAGAAGCTGCGTAACGGAATAAGCTTTTCAGATTGGAGACAAATTTATCAATAAGCTTAGTCTGGAACTGAAGCCTGTCTTCTCTTATTGCCTTTGAACATATGTTCCTTATGCGTTTATATTGCCTGTATGCGTCGTTATTGTCGGTTCGTTTATATTCGGCCCAACAGTTCCTTTTGCGGCTAAGCAAACGACGAGTGCGGTTCTTGATGATTGGGGGTTGTTCGTAGCTTTTTGGGACCATTTGAGGAACTGAATGCTCAGTAGCACATAAGATCGTGTGCAGTAAAAAATCCCAATGAGCATCCACTTCAAGTTGAGGGTGAACATCCCAATCCACCTGCTGTATATAGACGTGTAAAGCTAACACACTCAACCGTTTGAAAACCCAGAGCCTGTTGTTAGTGGGATATCTTAGCTCCGTTTTGCTGACAAAACTGAATGATACGACGGGGTGATCACTTATCCCCAGAGGAGCCAGGATTGAGATGTCATCTACTGGGAATTCTTCATTTGTGAATACCCAGTCTAAGCGCGACGGCATCTGACTGTTTCTCCAACGAGTTGCCGACTTCATATTTTCGAATAATCCCAAGTCATTGATGAGGTTGAAGAACAGAGCCTCAGTAGAGTTGTCAACTCTAATGTAGGTATGTTTCGCGAAGTTGATTCTAGGAAGATTGAAGTCCCCTAGAATCAGGATTTGAGAGAATCCGATACGCGTAGAACGAGTTAATCTTTCCAGCAGACGTTTGTCATACTCGATGTCGGTAGTGGGCTTCCTGTAGATGACCCCAACTAGACACCTCGAGGTGGTAGACAATCTTATTGAGCACCATAATGACTCATCAAGATTGAGAAACTCTTGGTTGTGAAGTTGGTGCGCCTCCAGGCATGACCGTATGTATAATGCTCCCCCGCCCCCATTCCAACTTTCCTGTCGTTGCGAAATAAAGACATTCCAGATATTGCTACCTCCTGGTCTGTAAACAGAGACGTTATACAGGTTTTGGATATTCCTATCAGATGAGCATCATTAGCGTTGCTAAATTCACGTAGCTAATCCATTTTGTTTGGCAAACTCGCGGCGTTCATGTACAAGCAGTTTATGCTTTCAATTTGGAACGCGTGAGCTTCTTCTTGCTTGTCTATATTAGCCGTGTGTGAGCGGACAGATAGCCTACCTATACAATGTTTACCGAGTTGGTAGTCCCTGTTCTTTACACGTTTTTTTTATGATCAAGACAGTCCATGAGTGGATTTGTCAGCTCCAGATTGCGTTTGTGCTTGATCCTGCTGTCAGGTGGCCTATCCGGATGCATATGGATGCCAGTTGGCAACCAACGTCTGTTGGCACGAAATGCTTCCAGAGTTGCAGCCGCCATGTGGGAAGAGAGGAAGGTTATCTTCAATAGCCTGGGTCTAGAGTCTCCATCTTTCTTGACTAGTCGCATCACCTGTTGGGTCAGTATGTTTTTTGAGTTTTAAGGAATGCTTAATGAATTTCCATTCCCGAATATCAGAGTTTGTTTGAGTTGGGTCCATATTTTCCGGTACACCTTGCACAATACTATTTCTTCCTCGGAAAAACGCCTTGCGAGATTCCTTATGGATGTTCCGAATGAGATTTCGTTCAGAATACGGTATGTTGGGCAGTATTCTTATGTTCCCATTGGATTTCAGTAAGTGACTGGCTAGCAGGACGTCCTCTACGTCGGAGGCATTCTTAAGTGTAACACGAAGCAGCCTCGGGTGGTTTAGGTGGTTAGAGTCCTTCCCCCGAGTAAGCAGTGTGACCGTCAAAGGCTCCATTCTAGGGAGATCAAGCCTCTTGTTCAGTTCTACACAGAGCATCCTATCATTTTTGTCCTGCATACTGAGAGGGAGGTCGGGGTTGTCAACAAGGTTCATGATTATGACAGAGTCGTCACGAACCGCAATTGATTTCCCAGGTTTTCCAGGGCGTCAAGGTTTGGTGCCTTGTTGTTTGGATGTCGGGACGCGTTTTCAACTCATGTGCTCAGTGATAACCGGGCGGACAGTCTTGGGGGTAGACTGTGCGGCCAAGTTACCAATTTATTTCCGCACGGTACTTGGGATGTTCAGCTTCGGCGGGGACGCTTGGGCCTTTTTACTCCTGTTAACGTGAGTCCAACCACCCACAGGGTTTTTGAGAACCATTGTTTCATTCAAGGACTCTTCCTGGGGGACCCAAGTTTACTGATGGAGTCGATGTTAAGACGGTGCTGAGTTTCAGCACGTGATCACTCGTGCTTTTACCTGCACCGTCGATAATTGACTTGTCGATATCCCTTTTCTTGTTTGCCCTGTGCGTTCCAGTTTTGTTCCCCGTCGTGTTACTGTCATTTAACAAATTTTTAGACAATTTGTCTCTCAGACCTGTTAGTAAAGTGATCATGGTACCCAGCATAACTACGGTATCAGTGTTGCAGGTAACACATACCCACCTACGATCAGACTTGCTGAGTCTGCCATAGGCTGTTGCTGTTAGATCTGTACACGCTTCGTGGAACCAACCTTTGCAGTTGTCACATTACATGCCAGGTGTAACGGCTAAACGGTAACCAGGTCTTTTGCATGAATTTCTCATGGCTAATGATATAGGCTGTCTTAAAAATACAAGCAGTAGGTTTAGGACCGTTAAAAAACACACAGTACACAAAAACCGGCAAAAGTGAATAAAAACGGTTAAAGGTACTCTAAAAGCTAGCCTTTACGCGAAAACTAAAAAAAAACGATAATGAGCTGAGGCAAAACCACAGTTAACTATTAAGTTGAGTGAAACACAAAAAAAGTAATTTACGGAACGTTTAACTCAGAATAGATTCTTTAGATCGAAAATGGTACTTTTGTTGCGTAAGAACACAGCGAAAGTTTGAGAAATGTAAATCACGTTAGGAGTCACGAGTGAAGTGAACGTTATTGAAACCAGCAAAATAACAAATAATACAGAGATCCTGGTTACGCGCGCTATTTAAAAAGGACAGTGGTATTTTTCCTCGTTGAGTAAATTCTATTGTTTTGATCGTTATTAACGTATCAAGACTACTGTTTTTATACTTTGATTGAATTTCTTTCAGTTAAAGTATTCTATTAGAGTATCATCTTTGGTATCCTAAATAGTT